ATGAAAGCTAGTCTAGTTGAGACCTTCATTTGGGCAAAGTTTCAGGTCGAAATTCCAGAATATGATTTGGCTCGAAAAATGGGATCCTATAGGGAAAATTCACTAAAATTTCTATATCTCGACAGGAACAAGCTAATGGCACGAATCCTTTTAGAGTTTTTGTCTACACTATGAGCCCTACCTATGAGGAAAATAAGAGCTTAAACAGAGGGTATCAGTTGGTGAGGTTCCCTCGTTAGTGAAAAAATAATTTATTCGAATATTAGTATTCAAACTTAGCAATTGGGCTTTTTACTGAGAAACTTTAAATTTACTTAGCCTTTAATTATTCCACTTAGATGTAAAATATTTACTGAGCAAATATAAATTTTACTTAGCAAAAGTCTACTTAACATTTAAATAGTTTTACTTAGCGAATGAATTGTTGCCCTTCAAGTCGGATACTGGATACGATTACTTTCTTTAGTGAGATCAAGAGTAGTATGTAACATAGATGGACACGGTTCAGGTTCTTCAAAATTTCAACTGGACTTAAACTGAGAGAAGTTTTATAAACGCTAAGCTAAACCAGATCGAAAGCAATCAAAGTTATTTAGGTTTTGCCTCAGGTCGTTCGTTTTTTCTTCGAACGGTTGTCGTCTAAATCTTTCTTCTTTATGATGAAAGACTTCCTCTATCATATGTTACCTCGTAATATGAATGTTTTCGATTGAATAAATTCTGAAACATACTACAAGACTGTTGCTTAATTTATTTTATTAATTAAGAAACGATAGTATTTTTTAATATGGTTGATCGGAAGTATGATTAAACGCAAAATCTTTACCTTAAAATTATTAAAGACAGAATCTTAGATGATTTTTTGCATTCTGTAAACCATCTGAAGTCTTCTCATATCAATTAAACTACCAGTTCTCTTCACAAATATTTTTGAGTTTTTGAATAACTGAAATGAGAATCTGAACTGAGGATTCAAGATACATTTAATCATCTTAGATATAACATTCTTCGATGCAATTCACTTCATCCTTGGCTGAAATTCTTCTAATCAGTCTTGTTATCCGTAACAAATACATTTTGTACCAATATGCTGTATTCTTTCTTATAGAGGCGGCGCTAGGATTTTTGCTTTAGGGGGTAATCCCCCTCTCCCCCAATTTTTTTTCTGAGAGAGCTCAGCCCACCCCTTAAACCTTGTGTTTTTGTAAGAAAATCATCAGTTTTTTACGAGAATTTGTAAAAATCTGAGGGGGCTCGAATGATTTCTAGGGGGGCTCAGCCCCCGCCAGCCCATCCTTGGTGCCGCCACTACTTTCTTATTCTGAGAATGATGTTTCCACTTTTTGAAACGTCTTATACACCCTCTCTTATTCACATATTTACGTTTCCTCCTTCTTAGATTAAGCTTGATTCTTATTGTAGACAAAATAGAATTTGATTAGATTCATAAATTCTCACGAGATGGACGGTTAAGTTATATATTAAAAGCGCAACTAAGTTAGTTTTTAAATCGATCTATCCTTGTGTTCAATACCATGAGATGGGTACCTTTTGTCTCATATAATCAAATAAGAAAGAGAGAGAGAGAGGGGGGAAGGGAGAGAGAAAATGAAGATATAGAAGGATGCGAAGAAGAGTACAATAAAGAGCATTGACATTGTAGCATATTTGTAGTAAGAACAATCTAGTGGAGTTACATAGTAACTAGAAACATCAGAACCGAGTTATATACAATGGAAGAACTCATACAGGCGTATTCAAAAAGTACTCACGCTTGAAAATGTCACGAGAACTGACGAGTATTTATGATGTTTGAGTAGTTATATGTTGTATTCGTCATGAATGTTAAGTACTCGTTTCTAATTTTACAAGTACTCTATTGGTACATTTCATATACGTCCATATTTGTATTAGTTCTTAATTTATTGATATAATCTGTTTTTTGATCATGTAACAGTAACAAGATTAACATACAAAAGAACATAAGTAATAGAACCAAGATAAAATATGATAGAATATACATTATGAAAAAACGAAGAAAAGAGTGTATAAAAATAAAGCGATGCATAACAAATCTCCTCTAACTATCTAAAAGATTAAATCATCGCTACTTCAACATAACTAGTTTGGCTTAATATAATCATAGCAAAAAATACAAAATCACACATGAGTTGTACAGTGTTCATTTATATGATTGAGATGGTTCTGATGGTATCGCTGTTGTTGTTTATTTTACAGTAGTGCTCGTTAATCTTGTTATTTCTCGCTCGCTCGGGATCGTTGATATTTGTGCAAGTTGTAGTGATGGACTCATTGATATTCGTAATAGTTCTGCGAGAATTATTTTCTTTTTGTTGCTTTCTCAATCAATATGTTGACATGAAAGAGAATCGGCAATTTCGTCCCACACAACATTTAAATCATCATCAAGAATCATACATTTCATTTGTATAAATTCGAAAACGATAAGTTTTAATAAACTCCATCGTAGAAAACTTAAAAGTTGTATACTGACCTTTAAATAAATTTTTCATATTTTTCCCATTATAGTTTATCACCAATATGGCCACATTTTTTCATCAATTCTCTCATTATCATTGTTGGGCGTGTTGGTGTAGCTTTAATTTGATTAGGATTTATATCAGTAATTTCTTAGGAGTGCAATAGAGATTGGATAAGGATATATATATAAAAGAAGAAAACTTACTTCGATTTTTGTATAAGTTTCATTAGTAAATTCAGCTTGATTTGTTTGATTTGCTAATGTCTAGTTAATAGAAAAAAGCTTATCAGCGCAGCCTCGTTAGGGCTAAAAATATGGAACTCACGT